TCACCCTCCAAATGACTCTAAAACTCCAAACCTTATTCCTAGAGTGCTAGATTTGCAAAATTTTGTAAGAAACAAGTGTGAATTGTTATTTTTTTTTAAACATTTTTCAAGTTTTGAAAAAATATGGTAAAAAATAGGTAATTTTTTTTCAATTTTTTATAATATCTTATGATTTCTTTTTTCTTGAATGTATAAATTTATGTTAATCTACATTTCTTACATCCAAAATCACATTTTTTTTGTGTTATCTATAGATTTATGGAAATTTTATGAGATATTTAGGGAAAATATAAATTAACAAAAATTTGAAAACATAATTTTTTCTCTGCATATAAAGACTAGATATGTTTTAGATCTATAGATTTATCTATCATATCCATAGAGCAATTGAAATTTCTTCTTTAATAAATATTTTTTGAATATATTATGTAATGTTTATTTATTTTTTTATATGTTTTGAAAATAAATAATAAATAATAATTATTTAAATAATAAATAATTATTAAGTACATTTTCACTTAGAAGTTGTGTTAATGCATATTTTATGGTTGGATAAGAGAATTGGTTTTTTCCCATCTCATTAAACATTAAAACTTAAGAATTATAAATTATAAATTATAGTTAAGTATAGGATTTTTAATGAAATTATAATTAACTACAATATATTTATTCATAAAACCATTAAAATATATTAATTTAATGTATATACACCTCATTTAGGTCTTATATTAGTGTTGTTATGTATTTTTATGATTTATTAAAGCATTTATAGTATTTCAAAGCATATATATGCGTATCTTAGTTTTTCTCCGATACGCATGCGTATCCAAGGCGTATCTCGATCCATCTCTTAAAATTGCCTTTCCGATACACTTGACATTTCCGATACTTTAAGCCCTAACTCTAGGTATATTGAGTCGAATCTGCTATACTTTTTTTCTGCACTTGCTACAAGTGGTCCGAACAACCATTTCAGCCGTACATAAGAATATCTCACCAGGATGGACAAAGATGTTCCTGTTATATGACTGCAATGGCTGTTGGGACCAGATTCAAACTCAACTTGCTGCACTGGGAAATCAATTTAGCGTTTCAGGACTGTGTAAAATCCATTTAATCTGGATCTAGTCCCAATGCACGGTCCCAACAAGCCATTGCAATCATACATCAAGAACATCTTGCTATAAAGGATAAGGGAATCGTTCCCAATATACAACTACAATGACTTGTTGGGACAATGTTAGGACCAGATCCAAACTCATTTCTTTTCTTTTGATAAATACATGGATATAATGGTCCGCTATGATACACACTTAAGGTTCAAAAAATCATTACGTATCATATCAAACCCTTCCCAATACGCCCCTACAAGGGTTGTATCAGGTCAGGGCCTGGTTCAGAGGGCAGTCGGGACTTAAACTGACCCCTCTGAACCAAAATCAAAAAAAAGTGAAAGTTCAAAAAAAAAATGGGCCGATATTGGCCAATACTTTAAACCTTGTACACACTTTGGTGATATTTGTCATCGATGCTGATTTTTCCCTACCGATTTTTCAAAAATCACCAAAATCGGTGTTTTTCCAAAAATCAATAAATTTTGTTATTCGGTATCATTTCCGCCATATAAGCCAATTTTTGAGAAATCAGCTTTGAATCCATTTGGTGTTGATTATCAAGGGCCCACTATTTTTGTATTAGGGTTATTATTCAATGCCATGTCATCCTCAAAAAATCAGAATCAACTAGAAATCAAGAAATCACCAAAAAAAAGTGGTCCCTCAAAAGGCCTATTTCCTAAAAATCACCAAAATCGGCCAACCAAACAAAATTTTCAACGCCGATTTCTCTAACGCTGACGTGATTCCAACATGGCAATGATTTTCAAAAAATCATCATCAATGCCAAGCATCACCTTAGTAGCTCCTTAAATCACACAAGCTCTGAAATGTGTGTAGGAGCACTGTTCATATATCTCAATCTACAAAAATAAAAAAAATAAAAAAATCACTTCAAAGGCAAGAGTGCAAGACCTCCCTACCCACCAAATAAACAGATGGAGGTTATCAATGTACATGCCAGTGTTCCCAATGCCGTTTTGTAAGAAGCTGACCTCTTAAAAGTTAGAACATAACATGCTTCCATTGCTTCCAGCCATGAGACAAAGTATCCATTTCCTGGTGATGCTAATAATTATCTGTCCTTTCTCGAGCAATTTCACCTGTCAGTTCAACAATCCACATACCTAAACAAACCCTTAACATCCCCTTCCAATCTCGATGAGAGCTTCAATTGAAGTACTCTCTCTCTCTCTCTCTCAGGACCTATTTGATGATTTCTCAGGAAGAAAATTCTGCACAAATGGTCTCCCCACTCCATATTGGTGCAGCAACCAACACATTGTCGTCAGGAAGAAAATTCATACGAGGGATTTCTCAATGCCGTCACAGACAGCGGATGCAAATCCAACATTACTTTTGTTGACCATAAGTTCAAAGCCTTCCCAGCTAATTGTGTCCATCCTCTTCAACATTATCTGAAAAAAGAGCATCCCAGAATCCACAGAGAAAATAAACAGGTAAAGCAAACCAGTGGAGATAAATGCATATTCATCTTACCCTAGGAAAAAGAAACAGGCAATTGACAATTTGATAGTGAACCTCGGTAATGGAAACAATGATGGATGTCAACAAAGTCCCTCGAGCTTCAGTTGTGATATATAACGCTTGAAGCAAAGCTCTTCCAAGCTTTTCTTGATGGGAATAGGAAAATGATCAAGGACCTTCACAAATGACTATTGATGCAGGAGCTGAAAAGTCAATTGGAATTTTATGAAACTTTGTATTTTTGGATTTTTGGACAATAGGGGTATTTTCGTCATTTTACAATTTTCTGTGGGGCCCATTGATAGGGTTTAATTTATCTAGTTATAGCTTATTTATGTTTAAAATTTCAGAGCCATTGTATAAGTAAGATTAGAGTTATTGAGTTTTCTTTGAATTGAAATAGGATATGACATTTAGTTTGAATCCTACACTAGGATTATCGAGTCTAACAGTTTCTCCTAAGACTATAGTCTTAACAGTTTGACTCCTATGATTATTATGAATTTATAGAGTCTAAATATGTACGGACGTTTTACACAAAGGCAATGAAGTTTATTGAGTTTTCTTCAGCTTATGCTAGATATGGTGAGTGATTCCCATGCCCTAGAATGATTCTAGGCACCCTGTAAGTGATTCCAGGTATTTTCTTTCTATGTTCTTTCTCTCCCTAAAATTCTGATCAAGAATACCATTCAACATTCTCTAAAGACTAGAACTGAGCTGGTCCTGCATCATCTCTATAATCTATATCGCATATTCAAACCTATTGTTGGCTTCAAATGCGCATCATATATGTTCATAGGGTCCCATGAGTTATATATATAGTAGCTTGCAATTCATTCAGCCTCGGTCAGTGACAATGGTTTCTACCAAAAAATCGAAGGGAAAGGACGTCATTTTAACAAAGAAAAACAATAAACAAAACTGGAAATGGTCCATTGTCTTGCATACATAGCAAACTTAACCATTGAAAGCTTAGAAGAAAGATGTGAGGAAAAGAGAGAAGAAAACTCTCTTGCATCAGGTTCTCGATAACACCCACTGTCCACCGAGCTTCTCTCCTAAGGTTGGCCTTTGCAACTATGACCCTTGGCAGCATTTACAAGTTCATCTGTCAAGCATTCAGCTATGGTCTTGACATTCTTGAAAGCACTCTCTCATGCACCATGCCCAGTTGTAAAAAGATATATTGCTTGGTTAACACGCCTCGAAGGAGAGATATAACAGCTTGACACCTCGCAACACCAGCAGAACCAATAAAAGTTGCATCTTCTCTTGGCCCACTGTTAAATATAGCATCAACAATGACTTCAATAGGGTTTTGATCTGTGAGGAGATGGATTATTTCCATCACATGCTTGACAATATGGACAGCCATGAGCTTATTCCCATTGCTATTCCTGTGCATCATCAGGGAATTGGTCAACCTCTACAATGGGGCACTGAACCTTCCTGAATCTCTAGACAGAATACATCCCCGCTGTGTGTGGGAGATATACAATGGTTGCATACTTGTTGGGAGTTATACCAATGTAATCCACCAAGGATATGTCACCAACCTGGACATCATCCAAAGACCATGTTTTGAAAAGCCTCACCTGTGGTTGAGCAAAAAATGCCATGGCTGCAGAGTGCAGATGCAGAGATTCTTTGACTTCTCCAAACCCTAAGGCACCCACTTACCAGTCGGTGACTTGGAAATACCCACTTTTCTGTCATACTATTTGAGTCCAAGATATTTGCAACAGAATGGATCTTCTAAATAGTAAAACTATCATCAGATCTTTGCTAAAAATATAATCATCATCTGAGCCTTTTTTTCACTAACAATAAGTTCATTGGGGGAAAAAAACGGAAATACAACCAGGCGGGGAGCATCACCAATTGTCCGATTGTTCAGATGGTCACTTGGCATCCCACAAAATGAGGCACAGAATCGTAACCACAGGCTCTCTGTGGTAAGGTCAGTGGACCTTACACGCACCCTGCTCTGTCCCCACCCACGGGTTCCCCTGTAATGTGTGTAATGTAATACAAACAGGTGGAGCATCAGTCCACGGAAGAAAACAAGACCCTCTAAAACCCATTGCAAGCATATGAGCAGTAATATCTTGAGAACGTGTAACATCATCATCCAAGCCTTGCCCCAACCTTATGGAGTCTGCCACATGAATCCTGTTTCACCATTCCATTCTGCTAGGTGTGATATTCATCTTTAAATGAGTCCTTAAATTATTCCTTACTACCTCAAGCCACATCATCTTTGATCTGCCCCTGGATATTGTAGCCCCTTCCACTAGAAGATGAGAGCATGCATGATGCGCCAAGCAGATTAAAGAAGTGGACAGGTAAAACATAAATAACACATAAATAACCAATAGCACATAACAGCAAATCAACCTAAATGTTTATTCATTTAATTAAGCAAACCTACCTTCAAAATTTTTTCAAGGTTGAATCTGACCTTATAAGAAGTAGAAACAGAACTTTGTTATATACTACATTTTACTTTCCACATAACTTCAACTGGAGTCCATCTTCTAGGCAACTGAAAAGTTAAAATCCAATCCAATGGCAGGTTTATTTAGCATTCTGAACTGTTCCAATAACATTTTCTGCATTCAACTGATTGGCCAATTTGGAATATAAACTAACCTTCAATAGAAAACAGCTGATACATGAAAGGCAGTTTGCTTTGGCCAGTCTTTTTGTATGAGACTGGCATCTGCATGATTTCAAGAAGACTGAACTTAATCGGTGCTCCTTTCTCAATATTATAAATCCATGTATCCTTGAGAATCACGGTTCTGAGATGACAAATTGACAAAAGTAGCTATCGAAATCAACACTTGCACATTTCCATCGTCAAAGAGGTCCTCGATAAGGTTACAATTCACCTAATCCATTCCAGTTTAATGAATCAAAAAGTGAAGACCCATAGGGCAAGAGAATTTTCGTGACCAGCACTATATAACTGGAGAACTTCACAGCTTGCATTGTCCTCCATCAAGAATTGCAAGGAGTTATTCAATGTGGTTCCATTATACTGTTGAGCAAGGAAACAATATAATGTGATTCCAATAACTTGGCTAATTCAAGAAGCACCATGAGCCTAGTCCCTGTCATCGCCTTCTGCTTAAGTGCCTTTACAAGTTGGTCTTCATATGCACCAGCAAAGATTTTCTTCTGAAGCCAACATACGTCATTGAGTGTCATCATCAATCCCTAATTCCATAGCTTCAAGCGCATCATCTTTGTCCTTATTTCCACCTGGTGGCCCGCATTATAACCGCTGTCAACTCCTTCCTCCTCTTCCTCTTCAAACTCAACGGCAACGCAACGACAACATCATCATCAAGAGCATAATAAGCATTAGCATGGTACTTGGAAGCCGGTGAGAAGTCTACCAATTGATACCAGCTGATACGGCAGCCTCTCCATCTCTTTTTCTTGTCAGGATTCTTAATATTCTATCTCACAACATCTCCACGGCCGCACCAGTCACAACATTTGACGGCTACCCGGCCAACTGCTATTAAATGGCGCCAAGGCCAAGCAGAAATTCGCGAGCCGACAGCGTCTCTTGGTCGTCAGCTAGTACAGACATGTCTTAGCAAAAGTAAGGAGGAGGACGATCTGGAGACGCCGTCGCTTGCTCTGCCCACTAGCTTTCCTTCTTTAGCTTGTCGTTAGACTCGGGGGGTTCAGGGTTGGAGGGTTCATTATAAGCCCGCCCCGTCACCAAAGGTTTTACCATTTTAGGTCTGTCTAACTTGCGATCGATGAGCTAAAAGGTGTACGCGGACGGGCGAGCGTCCGTAGTGAGAACAAGAGTGAGTCCTGTAAATAAATAAGGGATTCTAGTCCTGTAAATAAATAACGAAGAAGACAGAAAGAACAAGATCAAAGGCTTAGCGCTAGCCGTTAGAGACGATGACGATGATGTTTTCCCTATTACTATACACTAGGCCGTTGAAAAGAAATGGAACTATGGTAGCCACAAGCCACTATTTGGGCCCCATAAACGGTTCTTCCTTGGTGAAAATATGGATTTAAATCGGACAGGTAATTGGGTCAACCTCAGATTCTCGATTTCTGCAGAGGTGCTATACGTCCGACACGACAATTTGAGCAATACACAAACCCAGACTGGGTCGAGACTAACAGTAACAGGGGCTTCATATGTTTTTAAGTCTAATCCAGCCCAGGGTAGCCCATCCCATACCCCCATACTTGACTTTGACGGAGGCGTCCATCAAAATTCAAACGGTGAAAGCAGAAATCCTGAAAGGAGGTAGGAGAGGAGGATATTCCATCATTCTACTACCAAAAACACAGTGGGACTGTGGGAGGAGGAGATCAAAATAGTAGAGTCGACACACAAAGACTCAAAGTGCCAAGAGCAAAGAGAGGGAGGCAATTTAGGAAATACAACATCACTTTTTGTATTTTAAAGAGTTGCAAATCCACAACAAACAAACAAACAAACAAACAAACAAACAAACAATTACACAATACAAACATGTGGCATCAAAATTGATGATGATCAATACTCAAACGAAGTCCGGAGGAGGACGTGACCAACAAGATCAAAGATCTAATCTAAACTTCTATTTATACAACATGTATATCTACTTAATCATCCAGAGCCGGAAGAAAGGCACCCACACCGGAAAACAGAGCCCTCCTCAATCCTTATCCAGAGAAGAGCGAGCAATCAAACAACGGTGGTGGTAGCGGCGGTGAGATCATTTCTCTCAATCCTCGTAGATCCGGCACTCATCCGTCTCGGGGTTGTCCTGACAAAAGGATTCCAAGGGATCTTGTTTCTCCAACTTCCTACGAAGATCGGCCTTGGCCTGACTTACCTCTTCCACCTCGTCCCACGCCACTTTACACTCGTCCGACGTCTGGTCCCCCTCGCACACTTGTTGTGCCTCTTGAACCTTCTTCTCGATCATCTCCGTCAGGTGCTTTTCTCTCATCTGCGTTCCTTTGAACTTTGACACAGCCATCGCTTTTATCGACAAACCCCCAATCTTCCTGCCCCGGCACTGAAAAGGAAGCGAAACGGGGAATGGGATGTCGCAGGCAGAGTTGGAATGTAGAGAAATAGAATAGGAAGAAGAGGCGGAGAAGATCCGATCTCGAGTTGCAGATGGAGTAACCTTTAGAGCAAGGAAGGACGCCATTTGGAGTTGGAATAGATGAGTTGGGAAAGCCTATCGAAAACCCTAATCGAATGCTATCATCAGAGTTGCAGTCAAAAAACAACGGAGCATTTCTGATATCATATGGTTCATGGCTGGCTTTTTGGCTTTTTCTTTCTTGCTTTATAAAGGGATCAAGTTTCTTGACTAACCACAGTTGTACTCTGACATCGGACTTTGGTTTATATAAGTTTAACCTCAAGTGAAATGATGATCAGCCTCTCTCTTAGTCTCTTGTTGTGTTAATTACTTTAAATACCCCTAGAGATTAGAGAAAGAACATCTTAGTTATATCGGCGGCTTTCCTTTCCTTTTAACAAGTCGGTAGGTCAAACCTGGAGCAAAAGGGTAGTTTCGACTTTCGATACTTTCAATTTCCATTAATAAAAGATTTAAGAATGCTTTCCCAATTCCCTCCCGATAGTCGATCTGTCGATAGGCTCATAGGCAGACTAGCCGATAATGATATGCATTGGCACATAAGCACATAGCATTGCATTGAATTGCCGGTTGCCGCCCACCACAGTCCACAGATGGAGATGGAGATGGAGATGGTGTACTCCAACAGCGCCATACTTGCCATTACTCATGTCATGGGCTCATGGCCTCATACTTGCTGCGGCATCTACACCGGGAATCCGGAATGAATCAACCGAGTCCGAGTTTCATAGAATTTCTTTTCTTTTCTTTTTGGTTTTTTTATGGTAAAGAACCGACCGAGTTATGGATTGAACCAAATGTTTGAACGGATTAAGATTAAGGTTTACTACACTGGGGGACGTTTGACATCGGAGCATTTCATAAGTTGCCCACCCTGATTCACAAGTGTTTTTTTTTTTTTTTTGATAAATCATAAGTGTTTTCTTTTATCTGTTTTTTTTTTTTTGAAAACACAAAATGAAAATGAAAATGCAGGGTGATGGAGTTCGCAAACCCAAGTGAACCCACCAATCGAAAGCTTCCGTGTCATTCAATCCGCCTCTAACGGTTGGACCGGCATTAAACCCAAAACCAAACTCGGAATTGTCTCGTGTTCCTCGTTCGAACTCCCTCCCTCCCTCTCTCTCCCTCATTCAAACCCTAACCCGTCAACCATCGGTGGCCGGCGGCATCAGCAACCAGCAGTAACAGTAAATCGTCATTATAAAATTTTTTTATCAGGCTGTGTTTAGTTTGAAGGAAAAAGTAGGAAAAGGAAGAAAAAGAAAGTTTGTGAAGGTTTCCCTACCTATACACATCATTGCATCTGCATGGCTTCCCATTTCCTGAACCAGAACCGAGAGATGTCTTTTGAGAGAACTCTTGGTTTCCTTTGTATTGAGTTATGAGACTCCATATCCTAAACCCATAACTCCCAAGCAAACTCATGTGGGCCTGGCGCCATGGCTTCTTAAGTTGTCAGCAGGGTGCAAGTGGTATTGGAAACTGGGAGAAAGCTCTTTGGCTACAAGAGCGAGGTGCCCATATTGTGACTTGTGAGTTCACCTACTGAAGTTGCCTTGGTTAGCGAGTTGTGTTCACAATAGTTGGAAACTCGTCGGATGTTCGTGCCGTCCTGCTGCTTGGCGACGAAGGTGTATTATTAGGCCTGAACGAAGGTGGTGTTGTTGTCAACATGTGCTCGCCAGAGACATTTTCACCCCAAAACCCTTCTACATCATAACTAATCAAAGGAAGTTCTGCCCAATGCCCGTTCTAGAACTTTCAAAAACAAATAAAAATAAAATAGAACTCAGTTTTGCAGGGAGGAGGAGGAGGAAGAAAAAAAAAGAAGAAAACAACGATGCTTACTGCCGGATATCTTGCCGTCGCAGGTGGATTCCACATTTTACGAACACCGTGTGCTGTGAGATCGCCTCTAGGTTAGGGCTCGAATGAGAAGGAAATAGAGGAAGTTCGAATAAAATGGGGGGTGCTTTTCGGTTCAACCGGATTCCTTCAACTAACGGTTAAAAGTCCGTTAAAGTTAATATTTTTTTTAAAGTTGTCAACGAATTATTTACTAAGTTCACACAGGATATGAACTTAGGTGATGTTAAATCATAAATCAACTTTTTTAAATTTCAACGTGACACATTTCCTCAGGGATTAGTCATAATTTACATGGTGTAGCCTCCATCGAATATATTACTTATGTCACTATTTGGACTGAACCACAAGTGATGAAGTAAATGAGAAGTTATTCTTACTAGTAGACATATGAGTGATAATGTAATTATGATTCTTGAAATGTATTATTTCTTAAATTATAAATGTTCATGGACAAGTTATCTTGCATTAAAGTTAGATATATTTAAAACCCATGATAGATTTGACTAGACCTATTTTATCCAAGTGATGCAAGCCCAAAACGCATAGCTTGGCAACGTATTGCCAACCTACCTAATTCGGCTGACCTTCGAATAGCCTGAGCCTAAAGCAGAGAAGAACGCCCCCGCCCCTCAGGGCTTGAGGATGGTCAACCAAATTACGCTCGCCTATCGATTAAGTCGGCCAAAATTAGCCAAGCAACGGCTAGCCCTCGAAGGGCCCCAAAGGCCCCGGAGATCGGAAACTGAGAATCTCAAAGATGAGAGCTCGGAATGCACTCTCACTTCACCAGTCGAAGGCTGAAGATCTCGGACAACCCAAACCTCGGCCAAGGCAAGACCGAGGAAACAAAAAAAAAGTTGGACACAAGTTTGGAACTAGAAAATTTCATTAAGTTAAAGAAGCCAATGCATTAAGTCAAAGCTCGACATATTGAGCCATTAAAGGAGCAACAAAAGAAAAAAGAAGGGACCCACAACAGTTTAATCTGCGGAAGGGAAGTGGGTGGCCTCATCATTCTCATCTTCAGCATCGTCGCCTCCGCCTTCCTCATCAACAAGCTCATCCGAGGCCGGGGGCGTTTCATCGTCATAGGCCTCCCAAGTCTGCACAACATTGGCTAGCTCGGGACAGTGACGTAGTGCTCTCCGCCAAAAGACGTTAAAACTTGCTTCGTAGGAAGCCAAAGCATAATGATCCATGTCCTACCGAAGTTCCACCGAGTTCTTGTACCGTGCCACTGCCTCCCCGGTGGCCTCTTGCTTCAGTCGTTCCCTCTCTGCCTTCAGTTCAGTGATCTCGTCCTTCAAGCCACGGACCAACTCTACTTCCTCGGCCAACCGAGCCTACAACTCAGCCACCTTCTTCTCTAGTGCAGCAGACCGCTCCCCAACCGCCTGAAGCTCGGCGAATTGTGCCTTCAGCTGCAAGTACTCGGAATGCTCCTTCTAATACCACCGCCGCAACTCACAAAAGCGATCAACCACAACAATGGCCAAGCATGCGTTCTGCGGACACAAGAAGCGTTGTTAGTATGAGGAAGCACACTTAAAACAATGAAGGCACTTAAGTATAAACTTACCTGAGCCACAACCTGGATGAGTGAGCACTTTAATGTGCTGCTCCCAGTACTCCTAGCCTCTTCAGTGATGTAGGTCGTCATCGTCTCGCCGAGCAGCTGCTCGGGAACTCCACGAGTCTCTATCCCATCCTGACTACAAACTATCCAGCACAACACATGGATGTCCGAGCTGCTGCTCCCCACTTCGACCTGTGTATGGAAAGTCGTCTGGCGAGCTTCCCCGAGTTCCACGACCACTACGTCCTCATCATCATTCCCCCACCGTCTAGCTCTCTTCTACCAACGAGGCACCCTCTTGGAAGACCTCAGAGGAGGAACTACCTCGGCACGGACCTACGTTACTATGCCAGCCCGATTCTGCCTCTAGCGATTCTCCTTCATCCAGCGTACGATCCCCTCTTCACTTGCCATTTCTACACCTGCATCACGGAAGCACGACAATAAGTACAAGGACAAAGAAGCAAAGAAAGTACAGGTAGATAATGCAACGAAAAGGACAAACCAACCACCCTACGCATCAGCCCGCCAAGCATCAGCATCTCTGAGCATGTATACACAGTTACGTCTATCTCGTGGATTATGCTCAAGGCCGACCTTTCCTCCCAAATAAGAGCGAACCATTGAGGTTGGGGCACTCTCGTTCTCGTCTCTCGTAGCACGGCCGGGAAGGGGAGGCCCCCAGAACAGTGGACAAAGAAGAAAATCTCCTTCAAGTGCAACACTTCGACGTTATTCCTAGTCAATAGTAATAGCCCTACTGGTGAGGTTTGAGCTAAAGAAGGAAAATCACCATAACCAGGGTCAACTCGATATCAAGAATGGCGCAGTAGGACAGAAGGCTGACAAAAAACCTAAAGGAATTCGGCATCAGCTGCACCGGCAATACTTTAAACCATGTAAGTACCTCAGCAACCCCTTCGTTGAAAGGAAACTTCAACCCGACTTCAAGACTGTTCTCGTACACACAAAGTTCGCCAGGCCGAGCATCGGTTCCCATCTCACTATGCTGTGGGCACCTCATTCGAAAGTCCTCGGGGATGTCATACATAGCTCGGATCCGAGCCATGTCCTCGAGGTTCAACGCACAGGGTGTGGTCCCAAACTGATGAGCAGCCCGCAGCAGAAGCTCGACTTCTACACTAGAAGGACCAACCTCGGCCCTCTCAACCTCGACATCCTCAAAAACCCCAACCTCAGACTCGTAATCGGACCCACTAGAACCATAAGAGCTAGAAGCGGAAGAAGAGGAAGACATCTTACTGAGCTTGAAGCCAAGTAATAAAAACAAAGCGTCGAGCAACGCTGACAACATCCAGTTGAGCTATCCCAGCAGCTTCTATCGCAAATGGCAAGGGGGAAATGCCCCTCCACCCCTTCTTATAGCCCACAGGAACGCGAATTGACGCCAGATCTATGGTAAAGATCAAGTGTCACCCTGACAAAGCTCCGATCCATCCCGCGGTAGCGGTCCAACCACCGACGCAGGTGCTTGAGGTTCGCCCAAGCCCACTGGGTCAACCAGTTCCCTATCTTCCTCGAGATGCCCAATAGCAAAGGAGGCCTCGCTCCGCCCTAGCCGAGCATCCCACTCTTCGACTTCGGAACTGGGGAAGTGGTGCTTGGATCCCAAAATTTCAAGTACAAGTTCCTCAGCCAAAGAGCATACCCTCAACTTCGAAGCTCAGCAGACCACAACCAAGCATCACAATAGCTCAGCACCTACGAGGCCCCAACTTCGAACCTCGTAGATTAAAATCCATGTCTATGAAATGAACATGAATCAAATTAGGTTGTGGACTGATGTTTGCTCTTTTATYAGAAAWTGGCAAAYSGATCATTTGCAAAGCTACTTGATGACAACAAGTTGAAAGGCCCAAACTATGCTGACTGGTACA